TGATGGCGACGAGCAAAAGGTGTGAGCACGAGGCAGGAGAAGTACACGAGGCTCACAGGAGAGCTCGGAATGATGGCCCCGAGGGCCATTTTGATGGGAAACATCAAATGCCCATCAATTCAGCAGTATAATCTAGTATCCTAGATCATACGCTGACCTTGCTTGGTAAGACGCTTCCCCTTTAGGCAACTCGGGTTCTCCTACAGCCTCAATTGAAGGCGGATCGCATTGGACCTGCATTGGGGACCCCGAGAATGCTTCAATTGAAGAGTACGCTGACTATTTCAGGGAATACCACTCCGCAGACGGATGGAGCGTCCGAGCGTAAGATCCGATCCTGCGTGCAAGTTATGCGGAGTATGGTCAGTCCCGACCAAAAGGACTGGACGCAGCACATACCAATGACGGAGTTTGCGCTGAACTCGAGCATAAACCGCTCAACTGGCTTCGCGCCCTTCGAGCTCACGTACGGATACCTGCCGAGGATATTGACGGGCATACAGCCGCGTGCTCTCGACTCGCCCGGCGTCCGTTCGTTTGCGCAACAGGCAATACGTACGCTGGCGATGGCCCACGACGCAATCATTTCTGCTCGCGTAATTAGCACAACGGACGCTAACAAACGGAGAAAGGATGAGCCGTACCTTCGCAAAGGGATGTATGCGTACCTATCCACCGCAGACCTGTCCATCCCTAAGGACCGAGCTCGGAAACTGGTACCACCATGGGTGGGCCCTTACCTAGTTATCGGGGAACACAAGGAAACGTCAACTTACACCTTGAATCTGCCAGATGAACTGGCGCAGCGCCAGCTGCACCCCACGTTTCATGTCTCGAAATTACGGCCCGCCGAGCCGAATGACGAGAAGCTCTTCCCAAAACGGGACCTGAAGTTCATATATGACTTCGGGGCGCCGGATGAGAACGAGCTGTTCGTAGAACGAATAGTAACCCACCGCTGGATGGGGAATCGCGTTGAGTTCCTGGTGCACTGGGTTAACTCAGAACCCAGTTGGGAACCGTACCAGCAGGTACGCAACCTGGAGAAGTTGGATGAGTACTTCGCGCTCCAAAACGTGAAGGACTGGAAACACTTGCCGAAAACGGATTGACGCCGAGCCGCGTCGCGGCAATTGCGAGCACGAGGCTCGCGCCGCGCGGAGGACGGACATTGTTCTCGATCCCTCCGTATATGCTCCCTTTTCTCTATCGTCCTTGCTGCGTACCCCTGCTGTCGAACAGCGTCAGTCTCATTGGCGCGGATCTTTAGGAATGGTGGGCATCCGCACCTTCACCCACCAAATAAATGGATGGGGGGCGAAACCTGGATGAACCAGCGCCACGCCTCCTGTCTTTCGCTAAGACCCTCCTATTCTCTCCATATCTACGCTCTTGTCCTGATGGACGGCGAAGATTCTGACACTATTGCCCCCGGCAATATCTACTCCAACTCCGGCCACCTCGACTTCTCTAAGCTATCTCGCGACGCCGAGATGGACTCTGAGTCTCAGCTGGACTTTTCTGCGGAAGGAGACGACGATGCCATCGAAGTCGAACCTTCCACCGGGGATGATCCCCCGCGCCGGCCACGCACGCCCACCGTTCAGGAACTGAACGTGATGTCCGAAGCCGACATGCGTGCCTACATCGCTGCCCGGGCTAAGGCGGACGCTGCTCAGCAGGTCAACACCGCTCAGCAGATCCAGACTGCACTGACGGCCAACGCCGCCAACCAAGCTGCGGTCGAGGCCGAGGAAGCGCCTACGCCAACGCCTAAGGCTCGCGGTAAGAAGAAGGCGGCTGCGGCTTCTGAGAAAGCGCCCGCCACTCGCGGCAAGAAGTCGAAGCGCGTACGCGACGAGGTCGAAGACCTCGACGCCGACACGCCTCGCGCGGCGCCCGCGGCGCCTGCCGCACCTGCCAAGCGCGCCACCGTCGCTGCTGCCTCCTCGGTCGTGAAGACCGCGGGACGGTCTACTGGGGGGAAGAAAGGTACGGAGTCACCCGCGCCGGCCACACGTACCCCTATTAAAGTTAAGGCCGATCTTGCAGAGAAGATCGTTGTGGCGAAGCGCACCAAGAATCCTGCGGACAGCGCAGGGGTAACTATCGCGCCCGGAGCTATACCAGCGCTCCTTACGCGTATTGAAGACCCACCAGTCATGACGACTGAGACGGCCGAGCCTGAGCCCGCTCCTGAATCGACACCGGAACCCGCGCCTGAGCCCGCGCCTCAGCCCGCTCCTGAGCTCGCGCCTGAGCCCGCGCCCGCGCCCGTGCCCGAACCAGTGCAACCGACGCCGATGGTTGAAGACGCGCAAGAAGCCGACGCTCCTCGCACGAACAACATCAATACTGGTCGTCCTCATCACCTTGAGATGCGCGCCAGCGTCGCCATTAACTGGCTCAATCAGCTTCCCGAGGAGGAGGTGTGGCGCAAAGGGTTACGGCGGACCGATGGCTTCCTGTGGGAGAGTCACGTCCAAGCGTACCTCACCGGCCGATCTATTGTCGAGGACAACTTCGGGCTGTACCTGTACGCGCTGATGTGCGAGGACGTGACACGCTACGAGGCGGAATTCGCACCGTTCGAGTACGACTACAACTTCCCATGGGAGCGCATCAGGGCCAACGAAAGCACGACGGTGGACGACATCCGCGCACTCGCCATTCGCAATCGCGTCCATCCGTGGGAGGTCTCGGCCAGTCGGCCATGGGCGGTAGCGTTCCTCGAATCCTACCAATGGGAGACTGCTGCAATCGTGAAGGACTGCCACCGCGAAACGGCACGCGCGGCAGTCGAGCGCATGGTGAAGAACCCGTGGACATTATTCCTATCCCAGCCTCTATACAAGTCCCCTCGCTACGTCGCCGCGCTCGAGTACATGAGGTCCCTGCGCAGCCGTCCTCCACCAAACAACCGCCCTCCACCAAACAACCGTCCTTCGCCCTACAATAGGCCGCCTCGTAGGTTCGCGCCCGGCCAAAGGAACGCCGCGGCTTCGTCTTCTTCGGCTTAACCAGGTTAGGGTTAGTCTTCGCCGGTAACGCCGGTAGTTCCCCGTCTGCGCTTCGTCTCGATTGATTCGGGCTTCACGTACCTTGTTTCTTGATTGATTCATACGTACGCTATAAATCTCGGTCCCCTTGTGTAGCGGCCGCGGTCGTAAACATAATGAATTATATTTACCCCGCTATCGGAAGTGTGAACGCGACTCTTAGTTAAACCGGGTCTTGAATGGCCCCTCAGCTTCACCACTCCCGGTACCGCGCCAACGCTCACTCTGGCTCTCGCGGGTAACGCCCGCTAGGGGGGGAGTATGTTGGAGGTTCGTTCGCTTTGACGCGGCCTCCGACGCGTGACATCACACCCGACGCGTCTCGGTGACGAGACGCGCCCTGTATTCTAGGCCCCGCGCTGAGCGCGGAGGCATACTGACTGTTCTCTCTTACATACGTACGTACACGACTCGGCATTACCCGTAACCCTACTATACAGTTCTGCGTAGATTAGGGTTAGCGAGTAGTATATAAGCCTGGCGCTCCGCGGCCGTCTCCTGGACGTTTACTTTCACCACCTACAGTAGAATTAGCACCAATATATCGCGTGCAAGTTCTGCTCACCGTGTGATTACTAAGTGAACGACCATCAATCAGTCCGGTTGTCTCGAAGGCGATAGAGGGAGTGCAATGATTTGCAAAAGGCAGAACCCGGACGTCGTGGTCAAGAGCAAGCGGCGCTTGCCGGCCATCGGTCCATGAAGCGCGCCGCGGCGTGAGACTCTTACTATCATCACCTACAACGAAGAATACTCGAGCTTGCCTCCGTCACTCTTCTTGTAGTCGGTCACCAGACTGATTATCACCCCTTCCGTTGGGCCTCACCCTCCACGCATGCATGTTTTACCCGAAAGGACACTCTACTAGATACGTCTACGACCGTCTTGTACGGAAACCGATGCTATAAGCGCGCCGAGCCGTCGCGTAATTATACAACAAGAGCTACATCTCAAACGAGTACTAGTGCATCATTTACATGGTTCCTGAGATCGTACAGTACACTCTCGGATCTTTGGTCACAGGGCAGACGCTTCGGTCGCGCGATGGTCGTGAATGGTGGTTGAGCGCATCTCCTCCGGCGTCGCCTCAGCCAAGGAGTCCTCGGTCGTAGAGCGCGTCGGGCGGCGGCTCGGTGGAAGTGACGCGTGGGTCGGCCACCGTGCATCGTCAAGGGTATGCTTGGGCAGGATCGGTGGCGATGGCTTGCACTCGACGTGGAGGTCCCGCTCGAGGAAGCGAGCAGCGGTTCGATACAGGCGGCCCACAGAGCCAGCGCTCGATGTGGGCGCGACACTACGGTCGACTGCGAGGACACTCTCGCGCTTGGCTGTTCTCGCAATGGGCAGAAAAGCCATAGGTGAATCGTGGTCCTCAACCCCAGGCATGGCGAACGCCGACCCCGCCCTCTCAACATCACACTCCCACTCCGCTTTGTCGGCGACGAGCCCTCCTCCCGAAGTAATCGCCCCGCTTGATGAAAACGAAGGTCGCCGCAGTGCTGTCCGGTGTGAGAGGCCGTTCATCCTCTCACGAGACTGCGGCGAATCGTGAATCATGGAGGATATGCTGGGTCCGACTGTTGCGCTCTCCAAGTGCTTCCTTTCAAGGGCCACCAGAACGAGTACCAGCGTAGGATATATACCCGTCAATTGTGCCATGAGACGGTTGAAGTAGTCGACACCCAGTGCAATTGTCCCAACCCCAACGGGCGAGGGAGCTGATAGAGCCAACTTGTTGGAGACGATATACAAGATCTGATATCGCGTGAGCGCTCGCCCTACGCCCTTGAACGGGACAACGCACCCAGGTAATACAGTAAATGCAGCCACTTTCCCATAGGAGCGTGAGTACTTTGTCCACAATGCTACGCGGGCTGAACTCGGTGAGGTATCTCAGGACCTTACGCCGATGGATCCAGGTTTTCCATCCGATGGCAATGGTAGAGGCGGCGTTTGTGGCCAAGCTCAATGCTAGCGCTGCGGCCCCATAGGCGGAATCACTAAATGCGGGCTGTGTCCAAGCCTCATTCATCCATCGGACGTTCTTGTCTGGCTCCGCCATGAACGCAGCCTCCACGACCACATTCGCGATATTAAGACCGACGATGAACACGAAGAGCCCTATAGAGAGAGCGTAGACCAGTCTGTTCCGTCTCCAGAAGACGCAAGCGCGCCAGAGGACTATGCCGTCGCCAAGGATGATGTTCACCGATATGAGTGCGAGCGGCACGATTCTCGGATCCACGAAATGTGCCCCAGCCCCCAAGTAAGTAGTATAGTTCCCATTGATCATGCGCACCTGCAGGGACCAATGGGCGAGCGAGATACTATACATCACGAGTGTGACTGCCATCATCGCTGACTGCGCCGGTCGTGCCAGTCCATTCTCTTGAGTAGTAAACGTGTAGACAGCGTAGACCGCAAGCGTGGTGAATGTACCTTCGGGGAAGTGAGCGATGAGAAAGTATATACCACTGCAGTACATACCGAATAATCCGGTTTCTAGTAAGAAGGGACCAAAGACAGTGTGAAACAGGAACGCATCTGGAACCGAGACGTTCGCGTAATTGACGTCTAAACCGCTAAAGAGCAATCTGCTCGTCTGTTGTACAGAGAGCGCCCAGTGCGCTGTGAGCATAGCATACAGAGCGATGACCACAATAAGACCTAGAAGACGTCGTTTTGCAAGCGCTCGAATGCCTTCGCGTCTGGTACATGTATCAGGTGAATAGCTCTGGCAGGGTTTAGAGAGAGATGAACTCTTACAATTCCTTATAGAAGAAAATCGCCAAGGCTGTAGTTGACACTCCTAGTAGTGCCACAGGTGAAGATCAGCGGATGCACATCATGCAACAGAAGTCGCATACCGTAAAGCACGGTTTCGAGCTCCAAAGCAGGCACCAGTGGTAATGCCTGCGCGTAATAGTTGCCTGTGGTAGATACGCCTCGACGTCTGAAGTCGACTTCCATATGCGTGCGGAATTCGTTGGCCTTGCGAGTTGCAACTGGTCAACAGCACGGGAGAACAACTTCCACACAAAAGCCTCCGCCCTATATATGTAGAGAGGTGATCAGTGATGAGACTGCACGTCGTGCATCGCCCATCATGGTATCCGCGTCAGTAACGCCTTGATAATCTCCCGCCTGGATGAGAGCCTAGACAGAAATCAGAATACGAAGGTGTAACAAACGGTGCCTCAGACGGTTTCGTACTGACGTATGGATAGTCAAGTCGCCGAGATGCGGAGAGTCCTACCTGATGAATCGAGGACTAATGCGTAACCGGGCCAAATGTTCACTCTTGTACTCTCAGCGCTCTCCCGGAATCCCACAGGTATGAGAGTGGCGGAATCCTCGCGGGGTGTGCCATGAATCTCGCGATTGGTGGTAGCTTGCCGCTACCAGCGGTAGTGGGTATATTGAACAACACAGAAGGATACCCAACGTAGTACAAGCCGACGCGCCTTCACTGCCCGAGCTTCCGATGCGATCGATGCGAACCCAAAGGTCGTCGATGGTATCCTTGAAGTTTCGGGAGAACAATACAACTGCATCGTAACCCGTGTCAAGGACAGCATCCATTCCAACGGTACGATATGACAGGTAGAGCAGGCCGAGCGTCGTTCAGGGAGTAGAATATTGGTAGAATATATGCCCTGCGGATATGGTCAGTCCTGGTTCATCATGTTATCGCAACCGAACGCACCGCATGACAGAGAGCGCAAAGCCTGAGTCGGTATCGGAGCACTCGTTCAGGCAGCGCGCTCAGAAGGAGAGCATCGTGCACGACTGACTTCAACCAGCTGCCACGCGCGCGGCGCGCGCATCGGGGCAGCTTTAGGCGCCGTGCAAGCTCGCGCTTAACTCTGATCATTCGCAGTCCTCGCGTCCCTCGAATAGATCCCATATACCCCACGGCGCTCTTATAAGACACAGCCATATCTTCACACGCAGACTAGCACATGCATGTTAGAGAGGTGATGGTTGAGGTCAAGCAGCCTGCATGGCCGTTCGCGCTACGGTGCCACACCGGAGCTGACACGTGGATCCCCGAAGCTACCCCGAGGCTGCGAATGGCGCGCACTACGGCTTCCAGTTATGTTCCTGCCGCTTGTCGCGGTTTGCTTATCTCCTCCCACCTGAATTTCACAGGGAGGGAAGTTTGTCGTACAACGCAACGAGTAATCTTGTAAAGGAGGTACAAATCTCCTCATACGCAAACGCCTAACCGAGCACACAATACATCAAGCACACACCCCAAGATACAACTCGCCTCATACAGGACTATGTAACTCCTACTTAGTCTTCCCAAGCACACCCTCCTTCGCAGCGCTCTTCTTCCCCTTCAACACCTTCTCCTTCTTCTTCTCCCCACCCCCAGCCGCACGCTTCTCCTTCTTCTCCTTGGGCGTCATCGGAGCCGCGGGGGTAGGCGCCGGCTCGGCCGGTTCCTTCTCCTTCACGTCTTTCTCTTTGCCCTCCTTAGTCTTCTTCGACTTTTTGCTCGGCGGCTGTACGTCCTCGACAACAGCAGCAGCAGCTTCAACGAGAGACTCCTCAGCAGCGGCGCTCTTGCGCTTCTTCTTCTTCTCCTTCTTTGCCAATACAGGCTCGACGAGCGTCGGGTCGGAAGACTCGACGTCTGCTTCGTCCATTGATGCTACGGCTGGCGTGTCGGGTGGAGGGACCTCTGACGCAGGGGCGGTAGAGGTAGACTTCTTCTTTTTCTTCTTGTCGGGCACGTTGGCGGAGATAGAGGTGGAAGGGGCGGGAGCGGGAGAGGAGTCGATAAAGTCGGAGGCCTGTTTGCGTTTCTTCTTGGCGGGTGTTGAGTCATCTTGGGAGGACTGGACGAGGCACCTATCAGTATAAGGAAAGGAGAGAGAAATTCAGAAGACATGTACCTCAGTCACAGCTGTAACCTTCGCCTTCTTGCCGTCTGCGCTCTTGACCTTCTTCGCCGGCGTCCCCTCCTCCTCCACACTCTCCGCCGCCCTCTTCTTCCCCTTCTTCTTCTCCACCTCCTTCATCTCCACATCCGCCTCCTCAACATCACTCCCATCCGTCCTCTCCTCCCCAGCCTTCCACCTACTCTCGCCCAACTCGACCGTCCAAATCGGCAACGCAGCCGAGCTCGACGTCTTGATATTCAGGCTCTGAATATTGTCCCATCCTCCCTTGACCACTTTCGCGATGGCTGGGAGTGCGGTTTGGAGGTTGGACAGAACTTGGGAGGGGGTGTGCGTGAGGGTGGCAATTTTGATGGAGGTGCATGTGCCTTGGTTTTGGTGCATGTAGGTGGAGGAGATCGCGCGTTCGAGTTCGCCTTTGAGGCCTTTGCGCGTGAGGTTCACAGGGATCGGTTGCCTATTTACTCCATTAACACTACATCCTTGTCAGTATAAGAGGGGAAACAACGCACTTCTTAGCATCAAAGAACTTCCTCCCCAACAACCCCGGCAACAGCGGCACGACACGCTCGTCCGCCAGAAACAGGCCGTTCTCCTGCAACAGCATCCGCCGCGCCTCGAACGGCTTGAACTTGCCCTTCAGCTTCGTGATGCCGACCACGCGGTTGATAAACTTGATCCCGTGCGACTCGAGCAGGTCTTTGTATTCCCGTTGCGGGTCCTTCGTGATGAGGCATACGGGCGTCACGCGCGGGTCGACGAGTGGGTGCTTGACCGGGCTATATACAACTTATTTCAGTATATTTTGAAGGATAAGAAAGATAGGAAGACGCACATTTTAAAAGGCTTGAGCTTATGCTCCGGATGCATCTTCTTCACCGCAACCTGTAACCACACATGCTGCTCCTTTCCGCCCAATAACGAGCTCTCGTCCTGCTCAGCCTGCTTCTTCGACGCGTGCGCGAGTAGGGCGTCGACGGCTTTTTTGCATTGTGCGACTGACACGTGGTCGTCGATGAGGTCGCCTGCCATGGTTAAGGCTGGCAGAGTGTAGGGAGAGGAGGGTAGGGTGGGGAGATATGGGAGGGTGGAAGAGTTTGCGCGTGTGCGCGAATTTCGAAAACGGTGTGGCGGATGGCGGGCCGGTCATGCGGACCGAGAGCCGGATGCGCGCGCTTTGCTCTCGACCGTCATGTTCGCGCGCCTGGGGGATATGGGCCGAAATACACCTCCCCTGCTTTCAGATATGCATCACTACAGGCTCTCACGGAGTTCTAAGAGCGTCCGCGAGATCCGTAGTGGGATGTCGAGTCGGTCATGTGGACCGAGTGCCGACCAGAGGGCCGAATCGCCCGGTAGTGAGGTAGCTTGGATCCAGCGCCCGTCGCGGCTCTTGCTTTGACCATCTTGTTGGCGGATCGAGACAGGCTCATTCTCTACACAGAATTACCGCACTCAGCTTTCAGAATGGTACACGCACTCAGCTCCTTACTAGCCGCCTTGCCCATATCATTCCCAAGGATGAATGCCCGACGCCTCCCGGATGCATCGCAGCGTCTGTCGCCCATCGCGTGTTGGTCCAGGCTTGCTCTGCGGCTTCGCGGTGTCGTTTTTGAGGTCGAAGCCGCCCGTGAGGTCTCATCTTGCGACCACTTTCACCGCGGGAATCCTTACCGACGTCCTTCCACGAAGAACATGAACAGAAACGACGAGCATGTCATTGCCCGCATGACTCTGATACGCCGCGGCGTACTCGTCAATCATTTGCGTGGAGCAACTGGTCAACTGGACTGGTACGTATCTAATATGTCCTTGGTGCTTCTTCTCACACCCCTGACAGTTCACGTAGTCCAACACACACCCCATCCGAGGCCAAATCAGTAACGGTAGCATTGCTCGGACAGAGGCCGCGACCGCATGGCCCGTAGGGACTACACGCCTAGCCAAAGCTGATGGGGACCGCGAACAACGTCTGGAGGTTTGAGCGCCCTCCCAAGTAGACGCGAAGAAGACCTCCTTGCTCACTTGTGTTCAACATTCAACGGCGATCACCCAAGCTCCGTGCGGCGTGGGCAGGAATCCTCTATCAGTGATAAGCCCTGGTATCCTAGTCGTGACCCGTCGGTCGGTCGTCAGATGCAAGAGCCCCTAGGTCATCGTATGAGCCCCGAGTGGTCTAACCGTGTTCAAGTAGCTACATGCTGGAATGCTGCTGGGGCTCTCACAGGCCTTATAAATAGCGTGCGGCCAATGCATATGACCCTAGACTACGATAATGGTCATCGCGGCTCGAATCGAAAGGGAGCTTGCGCCCTAGGCGGGGTATCGCTTACAGCGTGCGCAGCGCTCTCTTCGTTGTATCAGTGCACATATGCTTTGTCGGAACCAACCCGCATTGTCAGAAGAGTTCCCATCGGGCTGGTAGCTGTGCAATTAGCTGTGCATGGTGATTGTGCATGGTGGTTTCAAAGCCGATGTACTTACGACCTTCTAATAAAACTGAACGAACTGTTGGCGGCTAAGTATAAGAACGCGCCACCCAAGCCTTCTTGCCTCAGCTCACCAGCACTCTTCTGCTCTGTTACATTCTGCGAAACTTCACAATGCTTATTCCTTTCTCTCTCCCTTCCATCGTTGTGGCTCTTGCCCTCTCCGTGGCTGCTGCACGAGTTGCCACACCCAGAGACCCTCCGTGAGTTCTGTACCTATGCACATCGCTAGCGGCGGCCATGAGCTGATCATCTTCCTCTAGTGCCCTGGACGGGTCTGGTACCAAGACCGCTGCTAGCGTTTGGGATTCAGTCGCTTCCACACACTCCGCCTGTATTCAATACCTCGATATTAGCCTACTCGAGTCAACCGACGTCTGTACTCCCGGAGCGCGCGCCGTGCCCATGCTCAAGGCAGCAATCACGGCTGCGGCTGCGGGTGTTACTTCTACTACAATGTACGCGGACAATCCTCGGCGCCGTCAACTCGACGAGCTCTGCGCCGGCACGCACTGCACTACCATCGCTCCGCGTCGCGCTGGGTCTCTCGCCACTCAGACGGCGGCTTCCGCTCGGATCCGCCCCAGGCGCGCATCAAGGCGCCCTGCTTCACGTCGCCCTATGGAGGGCTTCATGTCGTCAGGGAACGGGATGTCTATCGCGCCCACGGCAGTTGCGGAGAATACGATCAAGAATGTAGCCGTGTACGTGGTCTTCATCTCCGCGATAGATACACTCAACTCAATCCATACACCAGGACGACCCGTCTGCTTGCCTCCACTCTCGTGCCAGCTAGCGTCATCTGTGGCCACCCCACTACCGCCGTCACGTCCAATAGCTCAAACAAGCCCTGCTTCGAGCGTAACATGACTGGACGCCTGATCCAGAGTAAGAACGAGGACATCGACATCAAGCGGCGTCGCTCGCATCACGTCAAGAACTTCGCATTGCTGCGGTTCTTGATTTGAGCTTTGCGCACAGGGCGGTGGGAGTGTACTCGAACCACGGACCCTACCTTTTTCTCCTCTTATGTTCGTATATTGTTCATTCTCTGAGCTCTGCCTTGTACTTCCATCTCGTTTTACGAGAAGGCTCGCCCGGTGTCGGACAGTAGCCCAAGTTCCGGGGTTCATCGTCGCCGACTTGCCGTAGTTCTATCTTGTGCTGGGGCATCACTGGTGTCTGGTCACACCGACTGCTTACCATATACTTATACCCATTCTCAATACCATCGCTTATGGCATTGTTGACTTAACGATCCTATTCGTTTCCCGTGTGAATCCGTGCGTGAAGAGTAGAGGGTGGGGGCAAGGTGCTTATGGGAGGGAGGTGGAAGAGTTCGCGCGCGCGAATCTCGAAAACCGTGTGGATGGCGGGCCGGTTATACGGACCGAGTGCCGAAACGCGAAAGCCGCCTTGCTCTCGACCACCAGCATGCTTATGCGCCCAGGCGGAGACAGGCCATTTGTATCTAGACACACTACTGGCACCTTCATAGCATGATATTCCTACCGTGGCTCCGGTCGACGTCGTGTCTATGGCTCAATAGTCGATTCTGACCTGCTCGAGGTCTTGCTTCAGCCTGGGCCATAGGCTTTCCTCGCATCGCACGGCGCTCAAAATCAGAGCGTATTAAAACATGCGCTCAGTAGTTCATGATGCTGTTGGTGATGCACTCGACGGTGCTGCAACCGCACAGAAGTCCCGCCAGCAATACACGTCCCACCTGCCTTGCCTGTCGTGAACAGGTCGCCACGCCAAGGGGTCCGCACCAAACGTCCGCTCCACGACCGAGATCGATCACACCCGGGCGCGCACTCAAGTGATGAATCAAGCTGTCGGCTTCTTGAAGATCCAGCTGGACCCGCTCAACCGCGGTAGGACCAGGCGCGACGACATTCTGCGCGCTGTCCAGGCCGTGATTCCCCGCGTGAAAGGCCACTCTCATCCGGTCGCGGCCGAAGCCGGCGGCGGCGCGATTCCGGCAAAGCGTGTTCGTGCCGATGAGGAGAGGGCTCCGTGGACCGCCTAATACCAACTACCCAGTGCAGGAGGGGAACGGATACATGGTACGCCTCAGCAGCCTGTCCGCCATGCCCTCACTCAGACTACATGCATCAGGTCAACCTAGAGCTCAGCGCTATGCATCTCTCTTAACCGCGGAGACTACTGCGAGAAGTCAGCCCCGTCTTGTTGACCAGGCGCACGCGAGTCAGTGCGGCACCTGTACTGTACATGCGCTGGGCGCATGGCCGGCTCCTTTGCGAGGATAAAGGGAGACCTGCCAACTCTCGCAGTGTCTCGACTTCTCCTCGAGCGACCATCGCATCTGAACTCTCGGCATCGCAACTCACAATGCCCACGTTCTCCTGCGCGATCTGCTTGAACGAGTGGTCCGACACCGGACCCCTCCGCTCTCTCGCATGCGGTACGCTCGCCTTTCATCCTACACATCCCATTCGCATCTCCCTAACACGACTCGACTACAGGGCACACCTTCTGCGGTACATGCATTCAAGAACTCATTCGGAATCACCGTGCTGTCTGCCCTACATGCCGTGCAGGCCCATTCCCTCCGATCCGATATCCGACCCCTCTACATCAGCATCGAGGCCGAGGCCGAAGCGCCGGCGCGCAACGCAACCTCGCGTCAGCACATACCAGATGAAGACGTGTTCAGGTTGATTCAGCTTGCTCGGGACTTGAAGGCCTTGGCCCCGGAGACCTACAATCCTAGAGACTTCCGCGCCATAATGGATGCTCTCCTGGATCTGTTCATCGCGCACAGACACAATGAAACTATGACGGCAAGTACCAACTATGCCCTATTCATACCATGAACTTATATGATTTTCTCACCTAGACTGCTCTCCTCGCTCTTTTTATCTCATTCATGGACAGAAACGCCGCTGCCGCGTACGAAGCAGCGCACAGCACCCGAGCCTCCAACATGTCCACCCGCTCGCCGAGAGCGATAAGGGCGACTGTTCAATCTCTCGATCGTGAGATAGAAGGTCTCGAAGGGGCGCTTAGCGCCTTGCGCGCGGGTCAGAGAGTGCTCACCAGGCGCAGGCAGGATCTCGGAGGGCGACTCGTAGCTGCGCGTGAAGAGCTGGCGCAAGCCAAGAGCGAACTACGGCGCATTCGCACAAGTTCGTTTAGTACTCGTTCCACGGGTGCGAATGCTGCTGTAGAGGTCTTGGGGGAGTTCTCTGAATCCGAGTCGTCGAGAAGGCCTCCGTTTGAGGTTCGCGGACCGGCGCGGACGGGAGGTAGTCTGCGTCTGGCATAGACAATTTAGTCTGATATGTATAGCGGTAGTGGTGTCTGGTACACGCCTACCATCATAGTTTTGATTATTAAGACAACAGTGCACGTCATAGTCATGGTCGAGTTTTTGCAAGACGAGCACGTCGTGGGCGTGAGCAAGACAACTCGGCTTTTACCGCACGTGGACGGATCGGCTCGGACGTCGTCAGCGTCTTGATCTTGACCACCATGTCCTCAGTGTCGGTTCCGGGACGCTCGGGTAATGCTTTTTGCGCTATACCATATACTGCCCGTTCGACATGAGCCTCCGAGCTCGAAAGCTGTTACCGTCCGGAGACAAACCAACTCCGGAGCCTCATCGCATATCATGTCGAAGCGGAACAACCTCGTGCATGGACATCAACGCTTCATCTATCCCCGGATATATGGATGCTCGTAGTAGACTGTACACGTCAGTGCCCGCTACACTCTGGAAATGCTCGCTGGCATGCAGTCACACAAGACGATCAATCGCCAGCCTGCCATACAGGCCTTACCTGACTACGGGTGCGCATGCAGGACTCAGATGTTAGCCGATTCCTCTGTAGCTGACTTGATAGGGCAGCCGGTCTCACTGCACCATCTTGCCGATCAGCGCCCACCGAGATTGTTCTGACATAGCACTCACAGCTGTCATCATCTTCCCGTCGTCTTACAAGCCTCATAAGAGGTCGACGACAGGAGATACGGCCTGGTTCCGAGCCATGGCCACGACCCAATCCGAGTCTTCTGTGCGCCTTGAGGACGTTGCGGCGGCCTACGAGGCTTCCCTACTGATTCTCGTGTATGACCTCGTTTATCCAGCACTCGTGGAGACAGCACTTTATGGTGTGTTTGCACTTATTATATACACCTGCGATGACGGGCGATAGATCATATCGGTACGTAGTCGTGCATGCGACCTTGACTGCCTACTTTACCTACCATCGATGGTAAGTACATGTGTCGCACAATTTGACAGGCCATCTCCTGACTATGAAGATAGGATCAATCGAAAGAAGACACCTTTCGCAGACGTCTGGCTGTACGTGGCGTTCGCGATGTTCGCTGCGCTCTCAGTATACTGGGCCATCGAAGACGTCTATGGCTTGCGAGTCTTGACAATAACAATAATACAGTCTATCGATGCTCAAGTCGGAATAGGACCGACATCTACTGCGGAGATGAGCGTGGACCAACAAATAACGGTTTCCACGGGCATCGCCGTACTAGTCATTGTATGATATCTTTGGTCTCCTGATTCTGGCGCATGAAGCTGATGGTATTGTTTAGTTTACCATCGGGGATTTCGTTGCCCTGTGGAGGGCATATGTCATATATGGGCGGCCTCGATGGCTTCGCATAGCATGGGTAGTCTTGATGGTCACGATTATCCGTACGTACTCGCCCTAAGCGCCAACATTGAGCATTCGTTACTATCCAGTCGCTAACGGAGTCCCAAGTTCTGCAAGCTGCTGTAGCTATCTATCTCGGCATAAGAGAAAATCCGCTCCTTGGCTTTACATATATAAGTATCGTCGGGATACTCGCCACACTGTTGCCTCAGCTATTGGCCACGTCATTGATTGCTAGGAAGACTTGGTGCGTGGCATCATACTGGGAGATCGGTGGTATTGAGGGGTGCATATTGCAGGTTACACTGGAAAGACGTCCGCGAGTTCGCACACCACTCTGGCACACAAGTTAGCCTGGCTGTCCTCCTCGTTGTGACGGAGACAGGTTTGGTATATCTCATCATCTACGTACGTGAGGCCCTAGTCGCCATTGCACCTCTATTGACAAGAAGGGGCGGCATAGATCATATACGTAGCAATCTGGATCAAACAATTGACAGTTAGCGGCCCCGTGAACTACCATTTCTTCATATTCATAGCGGTGAGCATCCAAGTTTTGCCTCACTAAAGGTTGTAATCAGTATTGGGCCCTTAAGACATCTTGACAGGCAATGTACCCGGTCACCGTTCTCCTCCTTGTATCTGCCAGGAAGTCGGTCCTCGAGCGTAGCATCGAACTGGTTTCTACCAGGGACGTCATGCGCTTCGCCGGACCTGGGCTGGTCAGCAGAACGCAAAGGTCGCACTCAGACGCCGAGGGTCGCCTCGAATTCTCAGGGCTTATGAGGCGGACGATAGATGATGCAGATGAACCCCTTGTGAACTCTGCACCTCCAAGAGTCGAAGTCAGCTTTGGATCGACCGTCGAGATGAGGAATGCAATTGAGCTAGCCGCAAAGGAGAGTGTTAATTCTGATGACGAATCGGACGGAGACGGAGAAGAGGGCGAGCGGGTGCCGATGCTGAACGACAACCTACACTCTGTGGCAAGCGAAGAGACGCCAGGGGAGAGCAGAGATCTGGAAGTCCGAGCCACCGAGCTTGTCGCCGACAAGGCTGCCTAGCTCTGCTTGTATGCAACGACCACTCGTCATTCTGTATGTTGTACAATACGTACATTCTTTGACCAGTATGCAGCCATAAGGGTCACGCTAATGCCTGCGTCGAGTATGTGGCTCTGTTCACGTTCGCCGTGAGCAATCGAAGCCCGAGGTTGGCCCGAGGCGGCGTTTGCCCCGCGTCACGCGTCACGTTTCATAAGAGTCCGCGACCCGGTGTTTCGGTTCTGCCTCGACGTCCATGTACTTGACACGCGCTACTTCTTGTGCACGCTCGTTCTATACATATCTTGTGAACATTGAACGGTGTCATGTACTGGTAGCTTGAGAACGTGGGGAAAGCCACAATGCCCCGATGAAATGTTAGTGGCTAGCAAACGAGGCTTTCAGTGCGTGATATATCAAGTGCCAGCCTCTTCCAAGTCCTCATTATCGAACCCAATTTAGACTATCATGCTGAGATACACCTGTGATATCTGCTCCAACGACTGGTCGGATACTGAACCCTTGCGGTCCTTGTCATGTGGTACGTTTGGCAGCCGTCTGTCACTGGGCGCTTATTCGACGTGAATGGTACAAACAGGACATACCTTCTGCCACCCCTGCATCCAGAGACATCTCGAACACGATTCTCCTCGCGCATTTTGTCCTACCTGTCGCGCAGGTCCGATCCTGCAATATCATTTACGACCGGTCTTTGTGACTGTCAGCGCCATCGGTACGATGGACCCGCCAGCTATAGGACAAGGGTCCCCCACGCATCAGCATGATGTAGCTGCCATTGAGGCTGCTCTGGTTGGTATTAAACTGGATAACGAGGAGAGGCTCGCCGATCGACACGAGGCCACGCAGCTGCAATTGGCGCGTGCGCGGGAGGAGGTGGAGGGGTTACGAGAGTCCCTGATGGCTTCCCAAGCCGAGGTGGAGAAGTACCGCAATCAATGGGAGAAGGAGATGGGAGAATCGTCATGGCGAGCGATGAAGCTAGGCGGAGAGTTACTGGACGCTCACAAGGAATTGACCCGAGTCACGCGCGAGTTGAAGCGTGCTCGTGAAGAGGCGCGTCTTACCAGTATCTACCTGGCATATTCTGACTGACAGATATCTTCTAGATGGATACCTTCAAAACCAAATATGATGAACTAAGTGCTAAAGTTAAAGCCGCCTTCCAGAGTTTCTAGGCCGTTTGCCAGCTCGCCGATCGAGGAGACTTGGGAGGAGCTGTGCGAGGCGTTGTATCGACCTATCTACAGGATAGTCTCTATTCCGTGATATTGTAGTGCCACTGGTTGTGTACATGTGTCTTGTGTATTAGCTAAATGAATCCGTTCATTGAAATATACAAGCACAAGCGAATGTGTAGAGCCGGGGCGGGAAATGCTGGCTCTCGGTTGGCCGCACGGCGCTCCGCGCGACTCTCGACCCGGACCACCATGACCGCTGAAAGACAACAGTTCGGTAGATGACTTCACTACCAATCTCCTCCTTGGGGCCAGTGCGAACTTGCGAAGATAGCAGTTGATGATTCACGTGCTTCCCATTGAGCCTTGCGCTGCAACGAGGCAACGTGTGCCAGACCACCATCATCCTGCATAGTCCGCCATGATCACCTACTCATGTGCCATCTGCCTCAACGACTGGCCGCATACAGAAATGATGCGATCCCTAACTTGCGGTGAGCCGCGAATCATCCTAGTACCCGAGATGCCTGATGTTCATGCCACAATAGGACACACCTTTTGTGAAGCCTGTATCAATCAACATCTGAACCTCTCGCGTCCGCTGTGCCCAACATGTCGTGCAGGTCCGGTCAAACAACATCATATACGCCCTGTCTTCATTTCTGCCGATATGCGCGACGCGCCACCGGTCATCGCTTCTCCGGCGCGCGACCGCGCGGGCGGCGTACCGATCGAGTTATTGCCCAAGTTGCACCAAATCACGCTGGACCTGCTCTCGCTCACACCGGGCTCGAATATAGACCCAGGCGATGTGTCTGACAGTATATTGGATCTTCTGGCCTCCCAGCAGTGCAATGAAGCCGTCAAGGTACGAGACCGATGTCTTGGGACTCCATGTCCGGACAACGTGCTAATCTGCTGGTAGACCGTCCTTATCGGAACGTTTACAAACTTTCTGGAAAGCAACGTAGCGCCCGCTTACGAGGTCTTGAGGGACATTGACGCTCAAGAAGCTGCCGAAGCTGCTGAACGAACTGCGAAGAAAGGTCGCCGCGAAAGATTGCGCACCGCGTCCTCAATCTCCCAATCCCAGGCTACCCTGAACGCTGTCGCGCAGGCTCAGATCCAGGCTTTGATTAAGGAGAACAATCAGCTGAGACAAGAAAACATTGCTTTGCTCTTGGACCGAGATCCAGCTTGAGCACATTGAAGTGGCGCGCATAGCGTGCATGCAGGTGCATGCTCTATGCGCGACTGCTGCACGAGTAAGACACGGCCACTCGGCTGTCATCCACGCATGGGCTCCAGCTCCTTGCGAAGTACGCGCCGACCATCCGCGTACTGGGCGGCATTGTAACATGGGCCCACGTCAAGCGATGCTTATCTCCCGCTTGGGATGCGCGCGCCACAGCTTGTTGCCTGTTCCATTCTGCACGCTGTAATCCTCGCCCACCGTGCACGGCGCACTTGCGGCCTACTCCATACCGAGCCCGTTCCGTACCGTTACATACCCGCCGATATGAGATCCTTTGTGTCATAGCTATGCTTCCCATGGAAGGAACGAAGAGAAGAACTTGCCCCGACGACTTCGGCGAACCTCGTGTATTGAGGGCTTCCGATGCCCACCTCGTCAGACCGGTGCTCTCACAGCGGGCGGAAGAAATACTTGTCAAAGACTCGGATCCGATAATTGCGGCGGACTAGTAGTCTAACGGCCGTTTGTTCGCAAGTGCTGCGGAACGACGCCGCATCGCGTCGGGGTGAAAGCACATGCACCAAGTGGGAGTTGGAGGCGCATCGTCCCAGATCGTCCCACAGCGACGGCATTCAAAGAAGAGGGGTCAGATTGCAGGTACAAGGGCATTATCGCGTGGTACAGGATGGAATAGGTCGCAATACATAGAGTAGAAAACGGTATAGTCCGTGCAGTTGAGCAGAAGAGAAGCATGCGTAAGTATAATGAAGGATACAAATAGGTACGGTCTACAGAACGCTATAGCATAGGGGATCGCAATTGATACATTAGGCTGAGAGTATTCCTGTTCCGTGATGCAGGCATGTCATTCGATAGCGCAAGTCCTGAGGATGTAAAGTCGAAAGCGGGAAGGCTGGCGGCACTGAGACCGCCGGATGCGGGTGGGGTGTGGTGAGCGTGGCGGGCGTGGCACCCAAAAGATGCGTATCTCCGCTGGCCCAGAAGGGCGCTGATGGTCGCGATGGCGAATCGCTGAGCGGTGAACGCTGCGGCAGATCACCAAAACACGGGGAGGTTGGTGGCTGCAGTCTGGCTGATGTTCGCCTGCTGGGCCGTCATAGCCTGTGGGCGCGAGGGCTGCTGCGGTCGCAAGGGCTGCGATGGTCTTTGCGAGCCCTTGGAGGAGGGTGGGTAGGAGACGGGCTGCTGAGAGCCGTGCACAAGCGGGTGGTTCGCGGCGAACATCGCAGAGTGTTCGAAGTGCGAGATGCGGAATGCGAAGAGTAGCGGGTGAGTATACGGCGCAGGGGCTCGCAGCTGGTCTTGCTAGGGAGCAGATGAGTTATCGAGTTGCAGACGTATCGCCTGTACTTATAGTCGGGCGTCAGGACTGGATTGCAGTGGTTCCCAGAGAAGTTGCAACAACATCCGAGGACGTACCAATCCGGCACAGATCTGAGATCACCGCCACAACGGGTGATTCGTTGTGAGTCAAGGGTGGCGCTCGGGAGTCGACCCATACACGTAGCTCTCAATGAACCCAAATCAGGTGGTCTTGGGCGAGATGCGGCAAGTCGAGCTACCAGACTTGGTGGCACGAGGGCATGAAAAGGCGGCTCGGGAAACATGTTGATTGTTGCAGCAGGACTTAGCACGTCTAGACATGCTAAGATCAGCATATGCGGGTGCAGTGTAAACCAGTACAAGAGAAGAGAGAGATAGAAGGCCACTCGGAAAGGGCAGGGAGGACTGGAATCAGTGTGTTCGTCAATGACCCAAATCCGCGCTAAGGCTCTGATGTCCAGTTGAGACGCGCTTCAGAACATGAAGGCCGGAAGATGCGGTGCCAGCGTTAGCGCCGCCGCGGGAAAGTCGGCTACTTCGAAGAAGCCCACGATCGCAGAGGGGCGAAGAATTGAATTTTTCGTGGCGCACCTCAAGTATGAACCAACTTCATCCAGCATTGGTGAGTCGCCAATATGACTCTTCAAGATGGAGAGCCAATCCCTGGGGGTCTTGAAGTTGAAGCCGTGGAATGAAGTCACATCGCGCTGTTTCCGACGATTTTCTTTGACAGTGGATGAGTTTGGGATAGCCGTAAATCTTCAGTGACTCACATCGACGGCCACCCCCGCCACTGGTACTGAGACTATATTGTGGTATTCTTCCTGGGAGGAATCAGAACGAGGGCGCTGCGCCTTGGGGTAGAGCGGAGGCTTCATCTCTGATCCTTTGTTCGGGCCTCGCGTCGTAAACTGTTTGCTAGCGTCCATCATCAGCTTGCGTGCGTCTTGTGCAACGGGGAGAACGTCCCAAACCTGCCAATCAAGAAAAGCAGCTTCGATCGGCAACCGCAGATGGCCGTATGCTTTAGCATGTAAGAAGACGTGACAAGGCGTAATGCGTCGCAAACGGTAGGGTCAAACGCGCGCTGCGTCGACAAACGGAGAACAAGGAACAAGGCGCATGTAGATCCATGTCTACGCCCCACGACTACGCGTATGATCGACGTAATCGATGCAGCCAGTCGCGGGATATTCGATGCACAGCGAGGCACTGAGCGTCCGGTAGAGGTCCCGTTTCATTGTGTTATAGCGCCCACAACCGATAGGGCAAGTCGCGGCCCACACATTGCATGCACGGGTGTATCGCAAAGTATAGCCGCCAATGGCAAGAACTGCGGTTCAGAGTAGGGTGCCTTGAGGCTAAGTGTCATACAAGTTTCATACACGCGTCCGAGATGGCCCTTACACAACCTCACAGACAATCTTCCCGCTATATACCCATTAGAGGCAAAGCAAATAGACAAGAAGCAAAGAGCGTACGAGTTCTTATTTGCCTCCATTTCGCGAGTAGCCTCGACGATCTCGTTCCACGGATGCACCTTGTGGATGTAGACGCGCAATTTACCATCCCCCTCGCTTCCGGTAAGGTCGGGCAACACCTTGCTGAACTCTTCCACAAGGCGCGCCTTGTACTCGACATCGCGCGCCCGTAGCGTGCTGCCTTGGATGCGCAGACGCTTGAAGAGGATCGGAGCAAGGTTCACCTTTGGAACCTCGTTGCCTGTGCCTTGTGTCAGTATTGCATCTTTCGGGCTGATTCTTGAGAATTGTGTACCACTCATGAACGCAAGGACCGTCATCCTCCCGTCGGCGGCCATAGCCTTGATGTTTCGCTCCCAGTGAGTCTGTCCGACCATATCGATTACCACGTCCGCTCCATGACCACCCGTAGCGTCCTTCACAACCTCGGAGAAGTCCTCGGTCCGGTAATTTGCGACGTGAGTGGCACCGGCGGGTAGTGAGAGAAGCCAGTCTAGCTTCTCCTTCGATGATGCCGTAGCAGTCACCGTCTTCCTACCGGTAGTAGTGACTTCAGGAAGGGCGCTTGATGACGATAGGATCTGCACTTACGGGCCAAAGTATCTCGCCAGTTGGATAGCGCTGATTCCCACACCGGATGCACCAGCGTGGACTAGAACATGATCTCCCTCCTTCATCTCCGCTACAAGCTTCAAAGCCTGATATGCCGTTAGGAATGCTTCAGGAATAGCGCCTGCCTCAGCCCAAGAAAGATGCTCAGGCTTCGGCATCACGCTGCCTTCCGGCACGACAATGTACTCCGCATATGAGCCCTAATAAAGCTACATTAGAGAGGGCGCTTATTTCAAGGGATTGACTGACGTACGCCAGCAGCGAGACCCAGAACCTCTTGACCCTTCTTCCAACGAGAGCCGGCGCCAGCTTCAGCTACAATACCGGCGAATTCCAGTCCGATGATATTCGTAACGCCAGGCGGGGGTGGATAAGCGCCCTCTCTTTGCGAGGTCTCCGCGCGATTGAGCCCAAATGCCTTGACCTGATCAATTGAGATCAATATGGCGATCTACCGAGGAGATGTCAAATCCAAACCTGGACTTTGACCTGCCCCTCCCCGAGCGCAGGCTCAGGCGCTTCGCCGATGTAGAGATTTTCGGCAGGCCCTTTGCCGTCTTTGACGAGTATAGCACGCATGTTCTTTGTCTCAGAGTTGGCGATGGTACTAAAGAGAGCTATATATTGGTAGGCGTAGAGCTAGAAATCACGAGAATGCTTACTGTACACTCCGGCTTCCCAGCGTCAATTGCCTGCCGGGCACGTCATCGATTGGGCGCACGAGGCTGCCATTGCGGTACCGGACGTTTGGATATCTTGCGCTCGAGTATAGTGTCGCGCGCACGGGAGACACGCCAAATAATATGATAGTGCGAGCACCAGTGAATGATGGTCGGAGCGAAGTCGTAGCCATGATGAACTTGCCCGCTTGCCGGTCTCCGCGTGTTGCGCCTCACGCTGCCTCATGGGCAACTCACGACTTGAGTATCCTTATCTTCCGGCACCTTACGATGAGAAGACAAACTCTTCGGCCGGTACAGAGGCGTACACTATTGTGACAGTTCCACTATATTACCCAATGATACAAATTGAGAGACGGCAGAGACTCGGAGGCACTCGGTGATCGGATCAGCAGTCCGAGGACCGAAGATCAGTACTGCCGCCGTCATCTCGATTTGACCTCGTACCTTCACCTCACCTGATGCGCGCTGTGTGTCTTCAGCGCACAGACAGGCCCCGTTGTCTGACGAGGCTCTTTCTTTAGCTCTTGCTGTGTAGTCATATGCGCTGTGCTGTACATTGTGCCTTTTCCAGAATCGACGTATTGTGAAACGTTCAGACGAACGAGAGGCGGTACTCCACCTCCTCCCGATGTACGCGGAGATATCAACTCTTGGTCCAGCTACTGTGACTCTACGCAGACTCAATGGCTGCCTCTTCACCCTCGGAGACCTGCGGCTTCGGACGCTCAAAAGAACGAAGGGACCGAGCTGATCCATCCACCGTCCGGAGCGAACGTAGTCCCGTCAACGTACGCTCCCGACCTCCCAGCGAGATACAATATCAGCCCCTTCATATCCTCCTCTGTACCCGTCCTCTGCAATGGAATAGCATCTCTGACCAACTTCGGATCCAGCCTGTCGGCTGTCATCTCTGTTCATGCGATCCGCATATAGTACGTTTCAACCGTCCGGCGTAACAAGATGGACGTACCAGAGGGGAACCAACCCGGAGCGAGGATGTTGCTTCGAATCTTGAAGTCCTTGAGCGTACCGACCATGAGACGACCTAGATGCGTCGCGGCGCTCTTGCTCAGACAGTATCCGATACTCTCTATCATGCCGTCGCGTCTGAACCCGCCGACACTGCTGACAGTGATGACCTGGCTCATCGTCGCGCCGAGATCCTTGCCCTTGTTTGCAGCGGCCAACAGATCGAGAAACGCGACAGTGGACCAGTACGCTCCCGTCACGTTGACCTTGAACATGCTCGCGAAGTCTTCGGGCGTATGTAAGTCCCAGAGCGCGTCTTGCAGTTTACGTATGTCGCCGCCGTGCTCCTGTGTGCTCGAATTGAATCCCGTCATTACGCCAGCGTTGTTGATCAGCAGATCGATGTGGTCGTGTCTCTCGCGTACGCTCGCTGCTGCGGCTTTGAGGGTGTCGCGGTCGGTCACGTCTGCCTGGATCGCGTATATGCGACCATAGCGCTGAAAGGCGGGTTATCAGGCTACATTGCAAAAGCGGAAGACGGCCTTCATCTACAGCTCGCTCAGCGATAGTCTTCTCAAGCGACTCCTTCCTCCGCCCCAAGATATAGACTGTGGCGCCATGATTCTCGAGCGCGCCGGCCATAATCGCGCCGAGGCCCGAGCCACCACCAGTGATAACGGCCACCAAACCCTCGACGCCGAAGAGGTTCTGAAGATTAGCAGAGGGTGAGGACGCCATGGGTGAGAATAAGGAAGATGTAGAGAAAAATCAGCCCTTCGAGTTGTATGCTCGGCCCAGTTTTATTCTCATCGGAAGAGACCGTTGACGTCGTCGGGCGCCTGATCACATTGCAGTAATGAGGAAGCTCCTCGGAGACTCGGAGGCGTGTTGTGGGTCTGTACGTCTTTGGATGAGTCTTACTGCATGGTATGATATCCACCATGTCGCTCGATGAGGAATAGGCGTCAAGCGGCGATCAAAGCTCGGATCAGTGTCGATGTGAGCGCCCGCAGGCACACTGCCGCCGGCATCTCGAGCTTGGACCTTACCTCCACCTGGCAAGCGCTCTGCGCTTCGTCCTACAATGACATTCCCCCCATAGAAGGAAGGAGCACCTTGAATAGACGAGGCCCTGTATGTAGCGCTGGCTATGCAGCCATATAGTGCTGTGCACCTATCAGGAACTGCGAGGCAGTCCTTGCACGGTTGACTTAGTGCCGACAAGAGCGGGGATTCCGACTCTCGTTCAGGCAGATACCTTGAATTTGACGCCCACTCTTCCTATAGCATCCCTCTCTGTGAACTGAAAAGTCTTGTGAGGTACACGCAACATATTTGTGTGACCCAGGCACTTAGAAGAACGAAGGGATTGTGCTGATACGTCCACCATCAGGCGCAAACGTAGTCCCATCGACATACGCTCCCGACCTCCCAGCGAGATACAATATCAAGCCCGTCATATCCTCCTCCGTACCCGTCCTCTGCAGCGCAATCCCCTCCCGTATGAACACGGGATCCATCTTGTCGACAGTCATCTCTGTTCGCACGATCCGCAATGAGCCATACGTTTCACCACATCCGGCGCAACAAGATCCACGTACCAGAAGGGAACAGACCCGGAGCGATGATGTTGCTTCGAATCTTGAAGTCTTTGAGCGTACCGACGAGCAATCGGCCCAGATGCGTCGCGGCGCTCTTGCTGAGGCAGTACCCGATACTCCCGATCTTTCCATCGCGTCTGAACCCCGCGATACTGCTCACAGTGATGACCTGGCTCATCGTCGCACTAAGATCTTTCCCATTGTTTGCAGCGGCCAACAGATCGAGGAACGCGACGGTCGACCAGTACGCGCCTGTAACGTTCACCTCAAACATCTTCGCGAAGTCTTCGGGTGAATGACCGTCCCAGAGCGCGTCCTGTAGCTTACGGATGTCTCCGCCGTGCGAATGGCCGGCTGAAATGTCCCCCGTCATGACGCCCGAGTTGTTGACGAGCAAGTCGATGTGGTCGTGCTTCTCGCGTACATGCGCCGCTGCAGCTTTGAGCGTGTCGCGGTCGGTTACATCTGCCTGTATCGCGTACATACGGCCATGGCGCTAGAGAATAGAGCGTCAGATCATCGCTCCATTAGCGAAAGACGAGAGCCACGCACCGCTCGTTCAGCAATAGTCTTCTCGAGTGACTCCTTCCTGCGACCCAAGATGTATACTGTGGCACCGTTGTTCTCAAGCGCGCCGGCCATCATCGCGCCGAGGCCCGAGCCGCCGCCCGTGATAACGACGACCAGACCTTCCACGCCGAAAAGATTCTGCAGATCGGTAGAGGGATTAGAAGATGCCATTGAGAGAGGATGAGATGGGAAGAGAGGTAGAGCGTCCGAGCTCGGTATCCCGTCAAGATCATGTATGCTCGTCGAGGGTGACGTCGTCGGGTATTCGGTCAACGCCTGCGATAACGCGGCTGCCCGTCGGGAAGCACCCAGTCACCTGTACCAAGCTGGTACAGGGACAAAGCGGTGACCCACATCCACGTCGAGTTTAGCAGCGAGTGCGCTGTATTTTGAGCATTACCAACCATCCCACCACCACCACCCCCGCCCACACCTCCGGGCCATGAGAGCCAAACCCAGTCGATTGTCGCATTGATTAATCCAGTACAGCGTATATACACCGAAGCCACGCCATGTGAGTATATATGACATGTACCATCGCCGTGCCGTTGCCTTATATAACAAGAAAAGTGTGAGAAAAATGTGAGGATGGGGAGGATGATGCATAGGTGAGAGAGTCGACCGCCGAGCAAACCAGTCCTGTCATGGGGAGACATGCAGAGGGGCCGATTCATACAATAAGATATCAAATCGCAGTCACGCAATCGCAGAGAGGTCACTGAATGGGAAGCGAAGGTATACTGGCGCCACCCGGGGCGCCCTCATCATCATCGTCGTCTGGGACGTTACAATCGTGCGGGACGATCCCATTAAGCGCTCTCGGCGCCCGGCTCGGGGATCCCCATCTTCTTGCGCACGACCTCGAACGTCTTGAGCATCTTCCTGCGCGCGCCAAGCGCGGCGACGCCCTGACGCTCGAGCGCGGCCTCGTCCATGCGGACCATGTCCTGCCACTTGACATTCTCGAAGTTCGGAGTGTACTTGTGCAGGCGGAGGCTGCGGAGCCACGCCGGGATGTCCTCAAGCAGCGCGGGGTCGACGTCGTCCTCGCCCTTGTCGCCGCCTCCCGTGCGACCGCTCGTGGAGCTTTTGCCGCCGGGCGAACGTCCACCCGGTCCGCGCTGCATCGTGCGCTGCATCGCCGCGGCCTGTTGCTGCTGCTGCATACCAAGGAACGGCGAGAGGCCGGGCTGTCCAAAGCCCTGCGCGGCGGCCATCTGAGCAGCGAGGAGTGCCTGCTCGGGCGTCATGCCGCCCATGTTCATGCCCATCATGTTCATCATGTTGAGGTTCTGTGCCATGAACGGGCTCATCTGCGCCATCGCGAGTCCGTTCGCGCTGAGCGGGGGCATGCCGAGCCCGGGAGAGCCCATGCCGAGGTTGAAGCCGCCCATACCGAGACCAGCCATGCCGTTCATGCCCTGGTCCTGGCCGTAGCGGTCGCTGTGAGAGAGCGCGGGAGAGCGCGAACCGCTTCCACCCCAGTTGCTACCGCCGCGACCGCCGTTGTTGTTGCCGGCACGAAGGCTACTACCACTGACGGAGCGCTGGGTCTGCTGAGGAGCTGAGCCCTCCTGGTCGGATCCGCCATCGGCGTTGAGCTTCGAGTTGCGGCGGAACTTCTTCGCGTCCGCCAGGACCGGCACCGGTCCATCGTTCCAGTCGCCGGCAGGTACAGCGGGTGCCTCTGTTTTCTTGAACATCGGCATGAGCGGCGTGGTGACCATGCTGGACCAGTCGCCACCGAGACCGGGGCTCATCGTCGCCTCCTGAGCACCATCGGGCGCAAGGCGCGGGCTGCGAATAGCCGCACTAGCCGCGAGACCCTGGAAGTCGGTGCTCTGAGGACGGCTGCGAACGGACTGTTCGATCTCCTGTGCACCGGGCGAGCTGGAACGCTCAGCAACCTGTCCGAGGGAACCGCCCCAGACGTTGCGGTCGCCACCAGCACCAGGAAGTGCGGGAGCCGAGATACGGTGCGCGGCGTTCGCTGCTTTGAGCTTCGCGCGCTGCTGCGCCAGGGTATGAGCAGCATCGCCGAGGCTGGCGCTATCAGGCGAGAGGAAGCTGTTTCCAGTAGCGCTCGGCGGAGGGTCGAACGCGAGGCTCTGCCTGTTCGCTGCGGCACCCTGGGAGAACGAGCGCGCAGAGGGCGAAGAAGGCATGCCGGACTTCAGACCGGGCGACTTGAGGTTCATCGAGGCGAGCTTAGCCTCCATCTGCGACTGCATGCTGCCGCCCATGGCCGGGCTGAGGAGCGCGGTCATCGGATCCGAACGAGCCATTTGCTGAAGCACAGTGATGAAGAAGCGGATCTGGACCTGAGTCGAGTGCTGCAGCAGACTGTAGAGCGCCGCGGTACGCTCGGCCTCGGACAGGACCTTGAACCCTGGGAAGGTTGTCAGTGACGGCGTCGATCAATGATAGAAGGTTAGGGCGCTTACATTGCTCGATGGCACTGAGCTCTTCCTTGAAGTTGACGTCGAGCGAAGCGGCGGCCATCTCTTCCTGTATTGGTGTTAATTGTGTGAAACGGGGTTAGCTGAGGGTCGCACGCACCAGAGTAACTTCGTAGTGGTGCAGGTTCTCGAACCACTGGTCGATAGCCTCAGCTGTAAGAAACGTCAGCATAGTGTTTGTTTGGATACACGGAGCTGCGAAAGTCGAAGATCGGCGGCGATCATGCGAGGGCCCAGCACAGAAACTGACTTCCCGCGCTGCGCCTCTCAATTGCCAAACACGTAACAAGGGGCAATCGCTTGTCCTCGCTGGGACGTACGACTTGACATGTACATGTCCAGGGAAATTATACGCACATTCCGGTGTCTGGAAAGTAGCGCTGCCTAGGAGCTCGCTAGTAGGACGGCCACCGGGAGCGCCAGGACGAGGCGAAGGAAGGTTGCCGAAGTTAGCGCCACCGTTGGCACGGGGAGCGGGTCCCATAGAGGTGCGCGAGCCCTTTCCATTTGGGCCGGGCGACGGGCTCTGAGCCGGGGACGGGCTGTTGGGCGGGCGGAGGGAGGCCATTTGGACAAATCAAGAAGAAGCGGATAAAGGTCCTGCGACGTCGAGTCGTTGAGAGGGAGTAGTAGAATGGACCAGCGGAGCCTGCCGGTCTAGGAGAAGGTATAGGCGAACGGCAAACAGACCACAGGCGGCGACGAGCACACTACTACAAGCAGCGACGACGGACACGATGGCCGTTGCCAACACCAACGCCCCGCTCTAACAAAAGGCCTCGGCACTTGCCGTGCTCGGCGTCCCACCGCCTCCATCATCACAAGAACGATCATCTGAGAAAGCTTGATCTCGTCTCAGAACGTTCCCTTTGTTCCTAAGAATGCACTTAGTAGTGGATGGCTGTGGGCGGCTGCGGCAGGCACCGGGACTTCTTGTCAGACACGAACGCCGCGACGAGCAGCACAACAACGACCGCGTTTCGCTCGACTGCAGAGCTGCAAACCTTCGAGAAGCTTGGCCTTTGACGCCCATGATCATCTTGAGAACATCTAGCGCGCCATGATACCAACACCAGACAGGGGTAACCTCACACCATGTCCCACACGTCGATGGCGTCTCCCAGGTGCGTGCACTACAAGGACAGGCAACCTCAAAGGACATAACCTGACTCCCTGAGCAGCGCAGCAGGATCCTCAGTAGATGCGGAGTACAACACTGTTCTCGCCGCTCGGCGTCATAATGCCCGCATTCCCATCGCTCGTCTCCCCGCCGACGCCCTCACACTTATCTTCAGCTTTGTTGCCTCGTTCGATCCCTTGATCGAACCTGTGCGCGCGCCGTTCCGCGCCGCTTTGTCTCAACGACATAGCACTATCCTCAGGTGGATTACTATTACCCATATCTGCTCATTATGGCGAGCAGTGGTACTGGAGGATTCGCGCTTCTGGTCCGAGGTTCCGTCGCGGCTGGGCGTCTCTTGGGCCAAAGAGATCATGTGTCGCCGTGGTCAGCGCGGCGGCCTGGTCTTCGAACATCGTCAGATAATCCCACTGAGTCCCTTCTGGCAGGTACATTTTCTGGAACGAAGTCTGCCTTTCATTGAGGACCTGCGTATGTCCATCGAAGTGGATAGGATATCGCGTCTGCTAACCGGCTATGGATCGCCCGTATATGTACGCGCAATCGAGAGTCCAGTACCCCAGCTTCGTGTTTTATGCCTCCGCACAAACACAACATCATCTGCAAAGATCCGCTGGCCTAGCCGTCTCTTCGCAGGACAAGCACCACTTCTTCGCAAAGTGGATCTGAAAGTCGAGCCCGAGCTCACGCCGATCGTTCTTTCGTCGCTCACGACTTTCCTTCCTTGCCTTACGTCTCTCGTTATTGAGATCAGGCTAGCTTACTTGGGCGAATTCACCCCAATACATGCGGCATTATCCCTCTGTGGCAGCCTGGAGCATCTCGCCTTCCTGAGTCGCTTCTTCGAGTGTGAGGCAAGCGAGATCGACGATCTCCCTTCGCTCGACTTGCCTCGCATGAAAACATGCCTCATCGAAGCCCCACTAGACAACATAGAGGCGCTCGTGAACGTGATCCGTTCACCAGACAGCTGCAAACTTGCCCTCATCTGTCATCTACCTAGCTTCACGGACGCACTCGGAACATTCACAGAGGCGCTTTCGGGGCACTTCTCTAACATACGATCGTTGGAGATCGCGATACGCAAGATACCCGAGAAGCATACCACAATCGCGGGCTGGCGCCTATCATCAAGCCAACTGCTTACAGAAGACTTTGTGCTACATTCGAGTGGAGAGCGTCGCCGACCACTCCCAGACATCAGTCTCTCGTTCCGCTCAGCTACAGACCGCACATTCTTCCCGAACGAAATGCCCCAGGTCTTCGACGATCTCTTCTATCATTATCTCAGAGAGTTACTCTTCGGAGTGGAGAACTTGTCATTCCGTATCTCGAATGGCGCTCAGTCGGAGGGCACGTTTCATCCGGACTTGGACTGGGTCTCGATCCGCGAGACCTTTCAATCCTTGCAATGGCTGCGCGTGGATCGACACGTGGCAGAGAGTCTACTGGATATATTGGACGGGTCAATGTACACAGAAGACTTCTTATCACCGGATCTCAAGCACCTAGTGCTTATCGGTGTACATTGGCACGCGGATACTATGTCAGACGCGTATAAGCTTCAGGAGGGGGCTCTGCGTCGCTTTTTGCAAGGAGACGAGGATACTTCCGGCACGCTTCAAACTTTAGCTACGACCAGGTCCATCACCGTTGGCGGTGACGCGGGAGGGACACACGAAATGCTTCCAGAGAGCATGCCAGACATCCCGTTCACGGTGGTACAAGCAGTGGAAGAGGAAGACTGGCCTGACTATGACATCATCAATGTGTAGCGGCGTGTATTACATGTGATGTAAATAGTACTAGCAGTCCCTAGTCATGATTATTATAGAAACCGGCGATAGAGGCCTTCCTGAGCGTGAGAGCTGCGGGCAAGGACATGGTCATTCGGAAACAGAGATGCTTGAAGCTTGGTCTCGTACCACCAACTCCGACTCATGACATGGTGACTCCTCGCATGTGTGTATGAGCATCTGTATCAGGTCATACCACTGAGGCTGAGGCTTATCTAGAGCTGCAAGTCTTGCCACAGACGCGCGACGTGACACGTACGACAGGATCCTTGCAAGTCGCCCATCTGCCGTAGACGCTCATGGCCACCTGGCACAAATCGAAGCCGATCTTCGTGCTATCGAAGAATCTACTGCCCACCTGCGTAGGCGACGCAATGAATTCATTTCCGTCGCGCGTCTCCCTCCCGATCTGCTCGCCCTCGTCTTCGAATGCCTTGCTTCCATTGATCCTCTAATTGACGATGTCACCACGAAGAGACGCCTTCTTGACGTTGCTAAATGGCACAAACGTGGTCTTTGCTGGATCACTATCACGCATGTATGTTCTTTCTGGCGCACAGTAGCCATACAGGATGCGAGACTCTGGTCCCAGGTGCCCGGCAGACTGGGGTATCCTTGGGTAAACGAAATCATGCGCCGGCATGGAGAAGCTGGCGATCTTACGCTCGAGTATACCTACGGATTTCAGCCACAGTGGATCGAACCAGGCGAGATCATATCTTTGATAGAGCAGAATCTTCATTACGTTGAAGACTTGCGCGTAATGATAGACGATGCTGTGGATCTCGCAAGCCCTATGACCTTGAACTTGAACGTTCTCTACGATCCGCTACTGCGTGCAATCCTCAATCCGGCACCCCGCCTACATTCCCTCTTTCTGCATACAAGCCATGTTCCTTACGAGGCATGGCCATATGCTCTCTTTTCAGGACAAGCTCCTCATTTGACGAGGATATACCTGCATGGTTACCCGACCTCGCCCACTCAACTGGATCTCTGGTCCGCAGACCTCTTTTCATCGCTGAAGCCTCTCTTACCCCAACTCACCGATCTCTCCTTGGACTTCCGAGCACAGAGCCCCACGGAGACATGCCGTTTCGGACCTCTTCACGATGCACTATCTGCTGCGAGGAAACTCGAGCGCCTTGATATTCGCGGCTATCTCTTTGCATCGCCTGAAGCAGAGATGGCGGACGAAACTTCGACGTATGCGCCTTTGGAGCTCCCCTGCATGCGAGAACTCCGTGTTATAGTATCCGTTGCCACCTCGGCATCATTCGCGTCTTTGCTCGACGTGCCCGATACTTGCACACTCGAGATCGGTTGCTACGTCTATCGTAGCGATCGCAGAGCAGTGGCTAACTTGAGTGCACTTACCGAGTCGCTCTCTGCGCGTTTCGCATCCGTCACCACCGTAGAATTCGCCGCGCGCCGGATGCCATGCAATCACCTGGCATTCTCCGGGTGGTACACACGCTCTTGCGAGCTTCTTCTGGACGACTATGTGCTGGCTTATCCCAATCCTAAGCCGCCCGCTGCACCGCGACCAGCCCCCAATGTCAGCATCACCCTCCACGAATACCCGACCCAAGGCGAGAAGTCATTCGGGAACCATCCATATTACTTGTCTAAGCTACTGGCGTTTCTCGCGATTCCGCTACGCGGCATCGAGAACCTATCACTGCGTGTATCCGACGGTCTGAAGCAGGTCACATACGCCAGTCCGGACTGGACCTTCATCCGAGATAGCTTCAAATCACTACAGTGGTTGCGCGCCGACGGATACATCGCTTCGCAGCTTCTCCGGCAGCAATGGTTCTTCGACGAAGACATACTCACGCCGAGCGTCATGCGCGTTCTTTTGATGGGTGTCGACTGGGAGCCTGAAGAAGCACAGGAGCGCGAGCGCAGGCAACAATCGTTGCGCCGGCTGCTTCAGATGGGCGACGATGTAACGGATCTTTCTGTCGTACAGCGATCCGCCGCTGTTGGTGGACGTATAGGGGCATCGCATGAAGGGTTGGTGCTTAATATGTCTGACATCTTGTTTACGGTCTTTAGTTTGCAGGCGAACACCACGGACGGAGAACCAGATCGCGAATTCGATAGCCTACATGACATGTATGAATACTAGATCTTGCGAATAACCTCAATTTGAGGCTTCGTAACGCCGAGGACTCCACTGCTATCCAATTCCAGCGTATTTGATGACAATGGCCAGTCAGTGCCGATACAGGCGGACCCTACATGTAGTAGTACATTGCCAAGTCATCGTCAGTTCGTCTGCACCCTGTTAATGACAGGAGTACTTCTGAGTGATCCGTGAACAGTCTTCATGGCAGAGGCTGGCATGAGCTCCCGACAGATTGCAAGAGCGTGTGAGAAGCGCCTGCTTCTTGTTGAAAACGCCCTTGGTCAGCGAGGAGCCATGAGATGAGCGTTCGGCGCAGCCCTGGAGCAGCCTGTCGAGCGCGCGTCGCGGGAGAAGTGAGCCGGGTTTTGCCGATGCCAGCGCGTGCGCCCCATCAGCGTTTGTGTACTCCCACATCTTCGTCCGGATACTATACGTTCGCTATAGATGTCTTCACATCCCTCATCGCTTGGTGTAGAGGCGCGGTGAGTGCGTGCACTACCAGTACACAGATGTTGCATATTGACACGGCCTATAGCTCCGGCGCAGTCTGTCGTGCTCTCGAATCCTGTTTACCTCATTACGACACCATCATCGCCAGGCGTCCCTCAAAAACGGACGCACTGGAACAGCTCAATGTCATAGATGCTGAGATACGTGCCGTCGACACGTCCGTTGCCTTGCTACGACGACGCCGTAACGCGCTTTCGCCAAGCAGCCGCCTGTACCCGGAGATCCTCGCACATATACTAGGATATCTACGCGAGCTCTCGCCTTTCAACAAGTCTTACATCAAGGGCACAGGCCTTGTGTTAGATATTGGGTGGGTAATGGCTACCCACGTGTGCTCTTACTGGCGGACGGTGGCCATGCAAAACTCCTGGCTGTGGTCCCGGATCACCTTCTGCTTGGGAGAGCGTTGGGTTACCGAATTCCTTCGGCGTGCGTCGGTTGGTCGTCTTGACTTGAGTTACGCCTCAAGATACCAATCTTCGAGGGTCGAGACCGTTGTGAACGAGCGTCCAGGAGTGTTCAACCGCATACTAGAGGACGCCGGCGACCGAATTCAGTCTCTCACAGTCGTTGGCAGTTTCAAACTGGACGAGACTTACCCTGCCCTATACCCAACGTTTATGTCAACCCCCAACGCATGCATCGACACGCTGGTACTTCGAAGTGTATCATCCTCCACGCCACCTTCCACTGGTCTCACTTGGCCAAAACACCTGTTCGCGGGAAACGCACCCAACCTTCGTTCGCTGGAAGTTTATCAAGGGTTTTCCGAGTTGTTCACTTTTATATCCCCCGTTCTTGCTCATCTATCGTCCCTGACGCTCACTGCAAACTGTACGAAGACGACTTATCGCGAATTGCACGATCTATTGTCCCATGCTTCTCGGCTTCAGCATCTCATGGTCACCGATCACGAGTGGCCTTTGGGAGAGGACGCCGCCAATTCCTTTGGGCCCATCAACTTTCCCAGCCTGAAGACCTATCACATGGAAGGCCCACTCGCGGAGTCCATCTCTCTATTTCATCTCGTCCGGGTACCCATCACCTGCTCAGTCACGATCGCGTGCGGTCTGAAGCGCCGTGACAACTTCGCCATCGAGGTCCCGCGCCTCGCGAAAGTCATCACTCGACAAGACGGCCCGTTCACAGGGATCAAAACGCTTGAGCTCGCCAGTCGTCGGGTCCCCAAGAAGTGCTATATGATTTCTGGATGGCGCCACGATTCTTCAACCATCCTTATGGATGATTTCACGGAGGATGGCCACCCTCGAGCAGAAACGAGGATCTCGCCCGACTGCAGCATTATGTTTCAACAGCCGCCGAACCCGGGTTTGAAGCTGGACACCTATGCGCCGGAGTTCATGTCCCTATTTCCCCTCTTGCCTCTCGGCGGAGTGGTTAACCTATCCTTCCGATCGTCGGCCTTGCGGTACAATTTCTCAGACTGGCCGTACCTTCGTCGGGCCTGCGTTGCCCTTCGCTGGTTACGCCTCGACAAGAACATAGCTATGAACTTCGTACCGAAATCACGCTATGGAACCGGGGAAACACCGTACAATGCTCCTGCATCCGTGCGAGAGCTTGTACTCGCGAACGCCGACGACTACCATAACGGCAAGCTGGACACAGGCGCACTCGAGGATGCCCTTCAATCTCGTGGCCGGGCAGCGCTCGCTTCGGTGGTGACGGATTTATACAACATGCGGGACTTGGACCAAAAGTTCCCGACCTTGAAGTTCCAACGGGTGCGACGTGTGTACAGAGGCGATGCCGAGGACAAAAACCAGTAGGGTCTCAGGCTGCTAGGGGATCATCACGGGCATCGATACCGGATCATCGATTCGGCGCACACAACGCGCAGTGGCGCTCCTCGGACTTGCCTCGGGGAGGACACTCACGCCGAAACTGACCCTGGTTCGTGCCGTTGAGCTTCCTCACCGCGAACAAAGACCTCGCTCAACCTTGTGTCGGGATGGACATCTCAGGCTCTGCGCAACGCATGTCCCCGCGTGCAGAGTCCACTAGTGTAGCTTACTAGGAAACCTATCATGTTATCATCAGGACCAAGCCCATCGACTCGTTCTAAACTACCATCTTACTTGCTAACCTACTCTTATTACCTACACTTCTTGCGTCCATTGTACCCTACCTACCTCAGCTAATGTACAATGAAAACCTTCAACCAGCACTCGACTCGAACATTCATCCGCTTGTAAACTTCAGTCCGAAAAGCCCGAAAGGGTCTCCTCATTGTGCAACCAGCTTTATGACCGTGTTGTGGTAGGTAAGAATAGGCGTGGCCTTGTATCGCGGGGCATGTGGTCTGCTAGATGCGTCAGGGGTGTATGCCAGCGCGCAAGCGCTTCGTTCAAGAGTCAACGGTGGGAAGGATCCCCGAGGCTAGCCCGAGGTGGCGCGGTGGGAACTCTCGCATCTCCACTACCTCTGCAGCACCCACCATGCCATCCGATCACTCTTCTCTACTTTTGGCCATGAGTCTCGGATAGAGTCAAGAGCCTGGATATCGTTGTCACCCAAACTTATCATGCGCCAAAGCTGCATTTCGGGATCAGCCCCAGCCACTGCCCTGCAGGCTGTAAGATCCAGATCGCGGAGAGTGTATGTCACGTCCAGTTTACCACTATCGATGTACTACATCTTATTTCGTTTTACTACATGTACACCGCAAGTCCATTGTACGAACTCCCTAATCCATCTGCGCCAAATTCTCCCTCATATAATCCTCGAAAATACTCTTATAATTCGGATGCCACCGGCTGAGCGCGGGCCGTCCCTCCGTAACGTCACCGGCATTCCACATAATCCTCAGCGCGTCGACCTCCTTACGCGTCTCGTTGTCGGGTACGAGGATGTAGAAGTCGCCGGAACGGACGCGGTCGAGCATGTAGAGGACGGTCTCTTCGGCTGACCAGGCTCCAGGCGGTTTGGTGGAGGTGCCGGTGGCGTCGCCGGCGAGTTTTGTCCAGGTCCAACCGGGGCTGATGGCGGGTGTTAGTGGGAGTGGTGATAGGAAGGGAGAGGGAAGGGCGACGTACATGAAGAGGTGGGCTGTGACGTTGCAGGTTGTTTGAGAGCGCAACTCATGCGCCAGGCCTTCTGTTAAGCTCTTCACGGCGGCCTTTGACGCGTTATAGGCGGCATTGCCTCTGCATGAGTGTCAGTACGCCTTCATTCAAGTCGACAAGGTAGTGAAGGGACTAACGGGGGGTTCGTGATGCCCTGCTTCGAGCCAGTGTTGATAACGACCGACGCGTTTTCTTGCGGGAGCATGTACTGAACGATGCGATCAGCTTTCAGCTATACATGACCATTCGAGAGATGTCTTACGGGGATGAACGTTTGCTGCATGTTCACAACGCTACGATCAAACGTCAGCTATACTGATCATGCACTTCTGAGAGAAGAAAGAACACCCACCCGAAGACATTGATACTCATAACCTTCTGCCAACTCTCCAGCCCCGACCAACTCGTCCCCTTATCACCAACACCAGCGTTGTTCATAAGCACCGCAACCTATTCACAATCTATAATCAGCCTTTCCCATCCTTCACGACTGGCAGCGACCCAGATTCATACCTCGCCCCAAGTATCATACACACGATCGCGCAAATGCTGCACGCTCTCCAACTTGGACACATCCGTCGGAACAGCAAGCACATTCGCCTCTCCATACGCCGCGCGTAACTCAGCTTCGAGCGCGCTCAATGCTGTCTCGTCCACGTCCGCGATCGCGACTTTGAGCCCGATCCTACACCACAGACGAACCGAGTCAGCTTCAGATCTCGACACGTGATGTGATGGGGAGGTGAGAAGGACGAACTTGGCAAACTCGCGCGCGGCGGCGCGTCCGATGCCGCTGGCCGCACCGGTGATGACGGCCACGCGTCCGGCGTGGAACACGGGGTGCAAGTCGGCGTCTATGGGCGACATTGCTTGATCGACTTTGAAGGGCGTCGTTGGCGGGCGCAGGGGGGAGGCTCCGCGGGATCGTGACATGTTTGCAGTATAGATGGGGTAGACAGGTAGTGGAAGGGAGGATGTGGGATGTGGTGGTGGTACGGTGTAGAGATGAAGCTGGCCGGCGCACGCGTGCAGATCGAGCTCACGAGTTCGCGTGCGAGGGTGATGACGTAGGGTGCTCTCGTATTCTTCGGCTTTCTTCGGTCCGTGGGGGGTACTGGATTCTAGAAATAGATCGTAGGAATACAAGTGGTGGTGTACAGTAGTATGTGCACAGACGTATAAGGTGAAGAGGCTTGTGAGAGGCTATAGTCTGGACGGTTTGTGCGTCGCGCTGGGCTCAGGCCGGACTCCGGTACCCCATATTCCACTTTTTAAAGCGCGAGCTTCATGCTGCTTCCACCAATCCAAGATCACGCCCACAACCTCGTCGTTATGCTATAAGACACCAATCAGCCACCGCCCATGCAAGCTTGGAACAACCAATCATAACTCACGCCAGTCAAATTATGATCCCCGTCCTCAACCAAGCACAACGAATGCGTCCCCTCCCTCCCCGCCCCAAGCGCCCTCGCATAGATCGTAGCATCGAAAACCGGAACAACAGTATCCGCCAGCCCATGTATCGTCAACGCGTCCGTCTTCGCAGGAAACCGAGACCAGACGACGGAAGTGTCGATAGACGCGAACTCGTGCATCTCAGCTTCGGTTATGTGTCCGATGACTTTCTGACGGGCGACTGTGACTTCCCATTCGAAGTGGCCTTTGGAGTCGAAGTCCGGTTTGTAGCGTTTATAGTGGTGATCTGCGTATACACCCATCAAAGTCCGTCTATTGGTATGGGAGGGTGGAGGTCGAGCGCACCGTGTAAGACTCGATCCATCCTATACCGACCCGACACATTCACGAAACCTCCTACATCCCTTCCCTCTTCAGACGTACAAAGCCACAGCATACCAACGACGCTTCCTCGCGAGTGACCGACGACTAGATCGACGACGTAGCCGTATGTCTCTCGCAGATGCCGGACGACCACTCGCAAGTCTTCGAGATCTTCGTGGAACGCTGCGTACTTCCATTTGCCGCCAGATTCGAACGCACCGCTGTATGTGCAGGCGTAAGTTAGGTTGTGAGTGAGGGTGATGGGGTAGACGTACCGGAAGTCGAAGCGGAAGGAGTCGAGAGGTAGGTTTTGGGCTAGGCGTTTCTGGAATAGGTAGTCTTTATGCCTATGAGGATTGTTGTGAGGGTGACGCTCGACCTAGAAACTAGCACAGTGCCAATACCCCATAGTACCATGCAGAATCTATCCCACCATCAGCAAACAGCCCAACCATAGCCTCAATCACCACTCACCAGCGCGATCTTCCGTCCCTGTGTTGGCGCGTCCGGATCGAGCTGCTCAAGCGTGCCCACAAGATTGACACCATCCTCAGCAGGCTGAGCAATAGTCAGCTTCGTCGAACTTCGTCTTGACGTTGTTGTAGCAGCCATGACAATCAGAACCAAACACGACTGGACCTGCGCGCGAGCCCGATGCACTACCAGAGCGCGCCGGCTAATAGCGCTTACCGGACCGGATGCCGTACCTTTCAACTTCGGTCACGAGCGCATACGCCTCTGGCATGAACTACGTCCGCCGCAGGGCACAACAGAGATATATTCGGATGAACTGAACCTGAGTCCGGACGTGGTGGACGTCGACGTCGAAGCGCGTGCACGAGATAGGGGCGAAGGCATAAGTACGCGCGCGCGGCTTCCCACGAGATGGAGGGATGCTCTCAACCACCACCCGCCTCTCCTCTGATGCGCAAGCAAGCCTGCTCTGCAACTTGATGCGGCGAAGGCGGTCCAGCGTCCATAGAGTGACTAGAGGGTCTCTATCGCCGGTTATTCGCTGATAAGTACTCAGGACCACAGTCTACTAGTATGGTTGCCCTTGTGGTACATGTACTAGCTACACGTCAAAGATGTCGTCCTCAGACCAGTTTTCCTCCCCAACCGTCCGTACCACCATGAACGGAATATCAGGCATGCCCAAGGGAAGCATCTCGTGCGGTCCTCCTGCATCTCCACCAATAGTCACGGATCTGGTCGCACCGGAGGGACGTATCGCCCCAGTCGTGTCCTCGTCCGTCTGGAGAAGACGCCGTAGAGACCTCTCTTGATGCCGGTACTCGTCCGACGTGATCTCCGTGTGCCATTGCACGCCGATCAAAGCCAGATGCTGAAGAGAGGCTGGCAGGACGAAGTCTGCATCCTTCGCCTCACTGCGCCTGTGCAGGATGCTCTCGGCCACGCCCCGGTCCGCGCGTAACCACCGCAGCGACTGAAACGTCGCACCGATATCGCTCCATCTAGGATTCTGAATGAAGATTTCCCGCAGGCTGGTGTTATTATCAGATATGCGGAAGGACATGTTCTCGACTCCCGAGAACGACGGTGAGAGGTGTTGGAGGAGACGGGAAAAGGTGAAGGGGTCATTGTTCGTCGGGTCGACGTCGAATGATAGTTCGATATCTGGCAATAACCTCGGACGGCGATGTCCATCGAGAGGAGAGACCGGCGCGTAGTCCTCCGTGAGTAGTTGAGCAGAGGATGCTCGCCAGCCCGCGATGGAGTTGTGAAGATGAGGCATACTCCGCCCGGCGATCTCCAATGTGCGTACGCGAGCAAAACGCTCCGAAAGCGCCTGTGAAAGCGGATATGCTCGGGTCTGAAGGTAACTGTCGGTAGAACAGCGAATGCCAAGCCGGCATGTTTCTGGGATCTGCATCATGGCCACAAGGGTGCCTGTGTCCTGAATGGGTCCTTCGATGCGGCATGCCTTGAGATGAGGGAAGTCAAGTGAACCTAGTTCCGAGTGGAAGGGGCTCATTGAAAGCCTAGGGAAGCTGCCATTAATGACGAGGTTCACGAGGTTGCGAGATCTGGACAGCGCCGCGTGTAAAGAAGGGAAGTCGTAAAAATCATGTGGTCCAATATCGACGACGAGAGTTGTAAGGCAGTGGAGGAAATCGTGGATCGATGATAGAAAGTCCGGCACCAGCGAGTGGTATTTTAAGACTCGTAGATCAACTGTACGAAGAAGTGGTGCTTGTCCGGCGAAGAGCCGATCGGGCCAGATAAGCTGGTACCGTCTTCTCATTTCTGTTATGTCTGTGTAGACATGTAGCGCACGAAGCTGAGGTGCCGCGCTCCCGAATACGCGCGCGAAGTCTGTCGCGCTCCCTTCGAGGTGCATTCGTAGATCCTCGACGAGAGATAGACTTCGTTCTAGTAAGTCTGCTCTCTGCGCCCGTCGAGGGTCACTTGGGATCACATCGACATATTCATAGACCAGGCCGCCGCGCTGCCCATTGCGACGGAGTATCTCTTCGGTCGAAGATGTACGTAGCCGTGACGGGACTTCAGACCAGAGGCGCGAATCCTCCAGCGCCACGGAGCGCCAGAAGGAGCAGACGTGGGTAATCGCCATCCATCGGAGGACAGTAGCATGTTGTTCGGGCGGTTGAAAGGCGCGACGCCCTACGCGCACAAGTCCGATCAAGGGATTGGACGAGGCAGCAAAGCCGAAGATAAGTGTGAGGGCGTCGGCGGGGAGACGAGCGATGGGAATGTGGGCGTTGTGGCGCCGAGCGACGAGGACAGCGTCATGCTTGTCCTTGACTGAGATATCTGGTTTGCTGCTCAGGGAGTTAGGGTATGTCCTTTGAGTTTGCCGCTCCTTCTCGTGTACGCACCTAGGAGACGGCATCGAGGTACGGGAGATGGTGGTGCGAGGTTACCCCTCCTGGCGTTCAAATCAATGAGCGCTAAGATAATCATCATCGTGGGCGAGAGGTTTGGAAGTTCAAGAAGTACTGATCAGCGCTCAGCGTTGGCGGGCGCTTACTGTACCGGTCCGGATACCGCGCTTTTCAACTTCGGTCACGCGGAGCACATGGTATAAGTCGGTAATTTGGAGCGCGTGAGATGCGTCTACAGTGTTCAGTAGCAGCACTGTCCGGGTATAGTGCAAACCCGAACGTCGACATCAAAGTCGAAGGGCAAGCGCGAAATAGGGGCACAAGAACATACGCGCCCGCAACCAAACTTCCCACGAGATGGAGGTATGTTTTCGACCACCACCACTCCTCCGTCCTTATCATCTAACCATTCCTATCATGATGATTAGGTCATCAACGCGCGCGCAAGTCTACTCTCGAACTATGAAGTCCTTACCCTCCTCCGCGAGCTAGAGACCGAGTACCACGCCAAGACGAAAACAGCGCTCAGGATCAAAAAGGAGGACGAGGCTTCGGGCGCGCCGCCTAGGGCGCATAACCCGGCCGATGATGTGTCGGAGAACTTGAGGACTATGGAGGTCGAGGTATATTACCACAAGATATGTACTCGGTTATGTTCGCTGATATTTGGACTCAGGCTATTCAGTACCTCGGCGCGGAGTACCAGCCCACACGACGGCAGACTCCGGCGGGCGTCTCAAAACTGATCAAAGCGCTCGAACCGTACGGCCTCACCAAAGCCGAAAAACTGCAAATAGTGAACTTGGCGCCTACTCAGGCCGTCGAGCTCTACACCGTACGTTCCTCCTTCCATACGCTCACGTGCACGGCGGAATTATTGACGCGTGTGTGGCGCAGATCGTTGAAGACCCCGACGCGCGAATCGGCGAGACGATGGAGGAGATACTCGACCTCGTCCGTAATTCGCTCGACCAGGGCGTAGTACTTGGAGACGAGGATGTGAGCATGAACGGCGTGGCAGAAGCTGTACCGGCCAATACGGTCCGGCAGCCGCCGGGTGGCGAGGCGTATGCGGAGGAGCAGGTGTGGGATGAGTATGCCGGCGGTGGTGGGGATGAGTTTGTTGATGATGGGGAGGGCGCGGGGGTTGAGGGCGATCTTGATGTTGAGGAGGATTGACCTGGGCGCTTCCGTGTTTGGTGAGTTGGGCGCTTAGATGTTCGGTTGTGTGTGGGCGCTTATGCAGTGCCCGTAGTATATTTGTAGCCATATTGCACCCATGAATGCAGCGATGCTTGCCGACATAGACCACGCAACTTCCTCTACCTACCTTTCTCTCTTCTAAGCTCGTCGCTCATATCGCCGCCTGTGAGCTTCAGCCACGAACGCGCAGTCGAGCGCCGAACATCTCGTGCGCTTGCATGCTACATACGCGCTAGCCGCCGCGTGCGTCCTGAGCGTAGATATCGACCATTCTTGCGCCCCCATCCTGTTGGCGATCCATCGCGGGCTGAGTGTCCCTCGTGCGCGCCTTCATCGCTTGGATTCGTCGCTTGTGTGCGCACAAGATCGTAGACAAAGCGTCCGCCCCAGACCAAAACGCTCAGGTCTCCACTACATCGACGACGTAAAGCATGTTCCAATCAAGTTTCTCAGTACAGTCGGCATGTCAAACCGGGACGCGTCCCTACCACGACGCCTCAGGCGTATGGCGCGGAACACAAGACGTCAACATTGCTCGCAGGTACCCGCCCTGTCGTCGCCGCGCCGCGCCTGTGGCACCCCAAGGCGATGCGCCGCAGACACGATCCTTCCCCGGCGGCCCGCACGCCTTTCAAGCGCGAACGTACAACTGGAGTGATCCCCGCACATACCGATCCAGTAACAAGATATAAGGCCGTCCGCCGCTCACGCACACCTTTTCCTCAGTACCACCGTCCCGAATCAAGTGCGCGAAGGACTGTCCTTCAAGCGTCGCTCATTACAAATGCAATACATCGTCGTCCTCTTCAGCGCGCTCGTCCTAGCGCTCACGGTGCAAACTTCACCGGTCCCGGACAACGAGAGCATCCTGTACGCCCACCTCTCTGTCTCTATCTGCAGTCTCCCGGTCTTGAGATAGACATATAGGCCCAGCCCTACGTGCCTGCCCCTTGCCCACGTTCCTAGATTCGTCCACCCTTGTCCGCAGTGACAGTGAGGTATACGGTTTGCGAGGTGTGTGTGACTCGTATGGGCATGTTGTGCGGGAGATGCTTACGCGCATACTTAGCGGGCATGGTGCGTTCAGGAGCGTAAGCCTTGAGATGGGAGATACTCGTTCGGCCGATGCAACTCATACTCACACAACTGCACCACCGTTCCGGCTTGCTTGGTGGGTCGAGTGCTTTGATGTCTGTTTGTGTATGGGCGCTTACGCCGTGTCCGCAGCTCTTTTGTAGTCTTAGCTCGTGTCGTTGGATACAGCAATGTTTGTCTTCCTTCGAATCGTAGCGGCGGGTTACACGGGTGCGCCCAACACAACTGCCCTACATCTGACTCTGACCATAAGACAATGGGCCTGTAACCAAGGCCTTCGGTATAAAGCGCCTCCCAACCAAACGGGGCTCGGTATCGCGTTCTCCCCCTCTATCCTCTTTACCCGTATATTGCTCTGCTACGACCTCACATGTGTTGCCCGGCACCGATATCCGGACAGGCGTGCATCTGCTGCTTGCCTCTATGCGATGACCCGGAGGACACCGTGTCCAGACGTTTTCGTCATCATCGGCTCGCCTTTCCGGGCCTTAACTGCGAACTCAGACCCAAATACCCACTGGCTTCCCCTAAGCACGGATGCTGGCGGATCGAAGGATACCATGACGGGTACGTGCTGAGGTTCTATCCGAAAGGAGTCGAGAACGACAGGAAACGTGAGTTCAGTCGCCCTCCGACACAAGATCTTGACCGCTGACCGATCGTGCACAGGGATCGACGTATGCCTCTTCACACCCTCTACCAACCCGTACTTCAGCACACCCATGCTCGTGCGCACGATCGCGAGCTGCACCTTCAGCGTCTTGATCTCGAGAAATAGCAGCGACGGGTTCGGCGAGTATATGTTTTCTACAGATGTAGCGCTCGTTCATGGGGGTGGCGTTACGATTGGTATGAGCGATATGACCGTTGAGTTTGTGTTCGTCGAAAGGGTCAGTACGCAGATGCAAAGGCAGGATGGGATGTCGATTCCGTTAGAGAGACCTTCGAGGAGCCGTCATCGACGGTGAGATATTATAGACCAGAGCTCATGCGCTCATGGTTCTCTTGTAGTATACGGAGGCTGCTCTTGAGCTTAGCCTCTTGATACATGACGCCTGAGTATGCTCATGCACAATGACGACGTTCAAATCCCTTCTCCGCCGCGTCCTGGCGAAATCTACGCACAAATCCGGCGTTCGGCCTCGCAAAGCCGGAGCCGAAGCCCGCCGCACGTCTTCCGAGCGCGAGGTCGGCGCGAGGATGTTCGAACGTTCGAACAAGATTATATTGGAACTGGTCTAAGTTATGTGGAGACTAGCCGTATAGTACAGCTGGAGCTCGTAGCAACTAGAGTCGTGGTGACGGTCGCGGTCAAAGGCGAACAGTGTCGACGCCATCATCGCGAGATGGATGCTTGCTTTTAACCGCCACCTTCCCCTGGCCGCCCAGGTTCGGGTGCTGCCAGTCAGCCATACACAGCCATACACTCTCTCGACTTATACGACAGCCACAAGAGCTGTTTACTTGGGTAAAATAGGCTAGTGGAATGCAAGGAGGGCGACGAGGCATGCGGAAAGCGCGGGGCGATCGCGACGTTGAGAAAGATTGAGTTCGGCAGTCAGGCGATTGTATCTTATGGTGAGTCGCTTACTTTGATGCGGCCTCATGCTGTGGGATCTCATACTCTATCCGCAGCACCTATGTAGCCATACTGCACGGAATCATAACTCGGACTTGGATTCACCAGTACCTATCAACTTCGCCCGCCTGCTCCCTCTTGCGCTCTCCCAAGATCGTCGTCAGAATCGCTATGTCTGTCAGCTTCGACCACACGAACGCGCAGCTGGGCGCTGAAATGCCCGTGTGCGCTCACATGGTGCCGCTCCATTCACTGCGCGTGTACAAAGTCGGCACGTCAGAACATGAAGCGACCCTACAACGATGCCTCAATCATATGATGGAGGACATGAGACGTCAACTTTAACTCGTAGCTAAGCTCTCTCCTGTGCTCCTGCGTAACAAATGTGAAACCATATGGTTCGATTTATCGTCCTGCGGACTCGGGCCTTCATCAGTGCTATTCGCGTCTGTCAAAGCGTCTGTGCTTCGCAGGGCACGTCCGTCAATGTAGGTGATACCCGCGCATCCAACGCGACTATAAGAACCCTTCTCATACGTCTTCCTTTGCCTCAGGATCACCGCTCACAATCCAGCCCTAGTATTCGATCATCGAACAAGTACAATGCGCTTCACCGCTACCCTCTTCACTGCGCTCGTCATGGTGCTTACAGTGCAAGCCTCGCCCGTCCCAGACAAGGGGAGCATCCAGTACGTCTACATGTATCTCTATAATCGTCGCAATACTAAGCTAAGAACCTTCAGGCCCGATCTAGTCGTCCCTGTACCGTGCCCCGGCAAAGTCTTCAGGATCTGTGGTCTGTCGAAGTAGGAATGTGTCTCGCAAGGTGTGTACAGTTCTTCAGAGATACGCCGTGCGATAACTGCTTACACACATAGTGGGCATTGTGTGTTAAGGATCGTGAGCCTCGAGTTGAGAAGCGCTCGATTAGCCGACGCGGTCGGAGTTCACTGCATGATCTAGTAGACTTTCCTAGGTTCCTTGTCACTCGTGGATTCATGTATTCTTTGTACGAATGTGTGCAGGCATCGAATGGGTTATGTACTACGTTCTGCCGGCTGGACGATGGTGTTCTCCACCAACCTATACTCCGAATTCAATAAGACAGTCTCTTGGCCTCAGCCGCTCTGCAACATTGTATCAGCAAGACAAACTTCTCTGCGCATCGATGCATCGCTGACCCACCAGGCTCTTGACGTTAGATGCAGCACAAACGGCACGGAACACACTCCGGCGGCGGCGATGGATCGGCGTCGCGTCTGGACGGCGTACAGGATGAGCTCGATTCGCGTCGAACCGATAAAGAGCATACCTGAACTTCGCCATGTCGACAGGCGCGGGGGTAGCCTGCGCAACCAGGACGAAAGCGCAGATGGTGATGATGGTGGAAGCGAAGCGCATGGTGTCTGTCCAAAGTAGTCTTGGGAGCCGATAGACCGCGAACTGCAGTATGCCCACCGCAAGATCTCACCCCTCTTATACTCAGCAGGATAGACGGGCGATCATTCCCGTTGTACTGTTGAGCGTTGCATTGAAACGTACATTCCATTGAATGAGATCGGGCCGAGATACCGTAATACCGGCGATCATATGGCCGACGAGATGACTGTACCATGCTCAACAGGTGTATATGCTAGTCGAGAACTCTGTCGTGTGTACTTATGGCCGCATTGTATTCCTTGAGTACCTTATCATGTATCATACACATAGAGGCGGTCCTGGGGACTCCTGGGGCAC